AGCTGGAACTACAGGTGCGCGCTACCACGCCCAGCTAATTTTTGATTTATTGTAGAGATGAGGTCTCGCCAAGTTGCCCAGACGGGTTTTGAACCCGTGAGCACATGCATTCCACTCAACTCAGCCTCCCAAAGTACGGGATTACAGGCTGAGCCACCAAGCCCTGCGGGAAATTATGAATTTTAAAAATATATTTTGCAAGTTTTATTCCATTTTAGTTGTTACTGTTTTTGACAGCTAAGTCAACCCTGACCAATGAGAACCTCTATAGAATGGTACTTGTGTCTTTTATATCAGTTGGTAGTTTTTGAGAGCTTCCTCCACTTTGGATATGATATGATTTCTTGTGTGTTTTCTGACCTAGATCTGGAAATAACTGTTTTTCTATGATGTCTTGATTTCTTTTTATAGAGAATGGTATTAAGGATCATAGTTCAGATACAAAGTTGCAAGGTTGTTATTGTTTCTAGTCTTGGGTAAACAAAATAAATGATAAGTGTTTTTATAGAAAATGAAAGATAAGTTTAAAAACTTGAGAGTTCATAAGAAATGAATCATGAATGAAAGGAAGCTATCAAATATTATTGGATATTTAGGATAGCGGGGTTTTTAAATTTTCATTTATCTGATTATGTATTTGCATCTTTTTTCTCTTATGCTGAAAATCTTTCTAAAAACATGAACATAATTATTTGCCTTATATACTATATTGATACATATAGACCTATAATCAGTATGCATTTTTAAGTACATCATTGATGACATCCTGAAGACCAAAAAGACCCTGATTTTCAGCATAAGAGAAAAGAAGTGCAAATATAAATATATACTTTATATGGATGTATATATGTGATGTCTATTAAAATATATCAAAATAACAAGATTATATTGCCACTAACAGCATGACTACTAAATGCACTTTTCGATTTTCAGGATCTTTGTCTTTAAGATGTATGTCATCAGTGGTATACTTACAAAAGAATGTGTCTTTCTGTAGCATTCTCAAGCAAGCTTCCTTATTCTTTGTTATTTTCTTACTCCTTTTATAGCCACATAGTTCTGCAGTGTATAATGTATTCAGTCAATCATTGAAGACATTTGAGATGTTTCCAGTATTTTGCTGGAATAATACTGTAAAGAATAGCTTGTAAGTTTTTTCCATGTTCTTGCTAGGTTATATATGTGAGATCACTTTTATCTACAAATATCTATATGTAAATTTTGCTATTGTAATGCCGGTCTCCTTTCTAAGTATTCTACCATTTTGCACTCCTACCAGCATCACAAATATTTGCTTTTCTTTGTATGATAAATATGAAAGGCTATCTTCCTGGTGTTTTGATTTGCACTTGTTTTATTTGTGTATGTTTTTTCCTCAATGCATCATAAGCATTTTTCAGGATGCTAGTTCTGTTCATTTTAATAGCTGCTTATTTCATTTGATAGATTTACTATAATTAGTCAATTGTGCCCAGTGTTGGGAATTTTAGTTGCTTTTAATTCTTTGGCTACTGTGACCATATATAGAAAGATAGATAATAATACTTTGTTTTAAATTATTTTCTTGGTAAATTCTCAAAGGTGAGATTATAAACTTACATGGCTTTGTAAATAATTTTTGAATATATTCTTTATTTTGGCCGGGCTCGGTGGCTCAACCTGTAATCCCGCGCCATTGGGAGGCTGAGGTGAGTGGATTGCCTGAGCCCGCGGGTTCGAGACCCATCTGGGCAGCGAGACCTCATCTCTACAATAAATCAAAAAATCAGCCGGACATGGTAGCGCATGCCTGTAATTCCGGCTACTTGGAAGGCTGAGGCGGAAGTATCGCCAGAGCCCAGCAGGTCGAGGCTGCGGTGGCCAAGAGTGGCCACTGCACTCTAGTCTGGGCGACAGAGTGAGACTCCAACTCAAAAAGAAAAAAAAAAAAAATTACATATGTAACTAGAAAGGCTAGAACAAAACCAGGGGGAATGATTTTCTGAAAAATCATTTTAGAAAACATCTTTTCATTTTACCCTATATTGCAGTTTATGTAGCCTTTTGCTTTCCTTTTTACAGGGGGATTTTGGCACTCAGAAAGAAGCTGCTTGGGCCATAAGTAACTTAACAATTAGTGGAAGGAAAGATCAAGTAAGTTGACTTTTTATTTAATTCTCAAAACTGAAAATAACAGTACAGATAATTCTGCAATTTAGATTTAAGTAACTCATGCCTATATTCCCAGCTCTTTGGAAAGTCAAGGCAGGAGGATCACTTGAAGCCAGGAGTTTGAGACCAGACTAGCAACAAAGTGAGACTCCATCTCTACAAAAAATTGTTTAAAATTTAACTGTATGTGGTAGAGTACAACTGTAGTCCCACTACTTAGGAGGCTGAGGTGGGAGGATTGTTTAAACTCAGGAGTTGGAGGCTGTAGTTAGCTATGATAGGACCACAGCACTGCAGCCTGGGCAGTGGAGCAAGACTGAGGTTAGTCTATAAAATAAAATAGTAGATTTTTTTTTTTTCCATAAAAGTATCACCTTAACGTTCTTGCTCATATTCCATAGAAAAGTGTTCTTTTTTCAATTTGTTGGTCTATAAGACTGTTGTGATCCATGGTAAGATTTAGGCCCCAGTAGTCAGAGTGCTTTTTTTATTTTTTAACAGAACAGACTTTTTAGGTCAATGTGACAGAAACTGCCTTAATGATTCTCTAACAAATAAATAACGGTAGCAAAGTAAAAAGACAATAGCAAACGTATTCATCAGCAGCAAACCAAGGAATTAAACTCAACCAGATGGCTGGAACTAGGAACTAGAGTGAGGAATATGAGATGTCTAGGATCTAAAATTTAAAGAAGCACTCCTTTTCCAGGTCGTGCAGGTGACAGGGCTTAACATTGTCCCAACTGGCAAAGGAACAAAAGTGTTAAAAGGCTCAGATCTGTTTCACAGAGCAGGTACAAAAGGGTGAATTTAGAGCTAGGTGACAATAAATTGACAACAAAAAGCTGTGGACTGGTGGTGAGCAGTGAATCCACGTAAACATGAGTATGGAGCAGAATAGAAATATAATTCATGGAAATAATAACTAACAAAATATTGAAATCATTGGAAGACATTATGAAATCGTAGAACAGTGAATTGAGAGGGAGCCAAGCACACAACAGTGCCAAAGAGCCAGTGGATGCTGTCTCATTGAACCATTGTAGTGTTTTTAAAAATAGCATTTGCCTCCATCAACAGCCTCCTTAACTGATTTCAGAATTTTTTTTCTTAAAAGGGAAGTGATCTTTAAAGGAAAATACTCTTTATGGCAAAGAAATGTTTAATATGGAGTTGAGTAATTCTTTCATTTTTACCTTAGTTTTTTGTTGTTTTTTTTTAATTCACGAAAAAAGAAATTTACTAAATTTAAAAGAAAAGAAAGTTAGCTGGGCACGGTGGGTCAAGCCTGTAATCACAGCACTTTGGGAGGCGGAAGCAAGAAGATTGCCTGAGCCCAGGGTTTGAGACCAGCCTGGGCAACTTGGTGAGACCTGGTCTCTACAATAAATCAAAAAATTAACTGGGGGTGGTGGCGCACACCTGTAGCTCCAGTTACTTGGAAAGCTGAGGTAGAAGGATTGCCTGAGCCCAGCAGGTCGAGGCTACGGTGGCTGTGAGTACCACTGCACTCCAGCCAGGGCAACCGTGAGACTCCGACTCAAAAAAGAAAAGAAAATTAGATTAATAATGTAGAACAACATAGGGGAAGATGAGGCCATGTTTTATATACTCAAAATTGCAAAATAATTTCAGTGAGATAAGATGGCACACAGAATTCACCTACGTTCGATTATTTGGTGTTATCTTCATTCTTCAGGTGGCCTACCTTATCCAACAAAATGTTATCCCACCTTTTTGCAACTTACTGACTGTAAAAGATGCACAAGTTGTGCAAGTAGTACTCGATGGACTAAGTAATATATTAAAAATGGCTGAAGATGAGGCAGAAACCATAGCCAATCTTATAGAAGAATGTGGGGGTAAGTTTATTACAGTTATTACACATTTTAATGTTCTGTTTGTTGCTACTTTTATTTTCTGACTAATATAGCACTTCTGTATTTTTCTGTCTTAGATAATCAAGTGACAGGATAAACTAAATGCTATATTCTGTATGTACAGTTGTTCTCAGCCTCTTACATATGCCTAGGTCACTGAATTGCTGCCATATTTGAACAGGCACTGTGCTGAGGTACTGGGAAGACAGTGGTAAACAAGACACAGCCCTTGCCCTCAAGGCATGTAGTCTAGTTTTGAAGATAAATGTGAACTGATTTAATGTGCAAATTACCCTAATAGAAATGTACAACAAAATGGGATGCCTAATCCATCCTGGAAGAAGCAGGAAGTCACTCCTGAGCTAGATTTTGAGATATGAATAAGGATTAATTAGTAAAAAGGGATGAAAGGTGTTCCAGGCAGAGATAACACCATGACCAAAGTCTGAGTGAGAACTAGCATTCAGCAAATTATAAGTAGTTCATTGCTGCTGAATCACAAAGTATGGGGTAGAAACTGCCAAGGAATGAAGCTGGAGAAGGAGCCAATATCCAAACCCCTGTGAAGTCTTGAAAGCTTTGCAGCACAGCAGATGTTTTATCCTATGGGGCAGTAATTTCCACAATCTGGCCACGTGCCAGAGCTATGTGCAATGTAAACAATACACATTAGCTCTCAACTCTTAGAGTTAACTTTTGAGAACATGGAAGTCTCAATGTGGCTGTGAAACAGAATGTAAATGTTATCAGTCTGGATAAGCATGAAAAGTAAAAGTGTTTCTGACAAGTTGAAAAGAGAGGTAACTGCAAAAGTAGGAGAACCCATATCTTCAGCTAAGTGAGGGGAGAATCAGAACACTTGAAAATTAATGTAATAAGAAATAGAGGCTGGGCTCGGTAACTTAGCCTGTACTTCCAGCACTTTGGGAGGCCGAGGCAAGTGGATTGTCTGAGCCCACAGGTTCAAGACCAGCCCAGGCAACTTGGCAAGACCTCGTCTCTACAATAAATAAAAAATTAGCTGGGCATGGTGGCACATGCCTGTAGTTCTGGCTACTTGGAGGGCTGAAGCGGAAGGATCATTGGAGCCCAGCAGGTCAACTCTGGGGTGGCCGTGAGTGTGCCACGGCATTCCAGTCTGGGCAACAGAGTGAGACACCAACTCAAAAAAAAAAAGAAAAAAAGAAATAGATATTAAAAAAATAGAAAAAAAGAATAGATAACAAAATAAAAAAAGTAATGCATAACTGAAGTTAGGAACAAGAGATGGGGACTAGTATTAGGGAACTAATTAGGGGATATGTACCAGAAAAATTAACAGCAGGCATAGTTATTTTTTTCCATGTTGACATTTTCATAACTAAAATATCTTTATATATTAAAATGAAAATATAAGATCTTAAACATTGCTCACTGGAGGTAAGACCCAGAGATCAATATTTTATATAAGCTTACCAATAGGTTGTGCCATAGGGTATGACAAGCCACTGGAGAATTTTACCCAGGGTATTGTTTGGTATGTTCAGCTGGAGCATGGCTATCCAGAGAATGAGGCCTCTGGAGACAAGAGACAGGGAAACCTGTTAGGAAGATTTATAGTGGTCAGGCCACAATAAATGAAGGTAGTAATAGTAGAGATGAAGAGGGATGACAAGGTTCAAGAAGTGCATATATTTGAAGGTTTTTGAGATTTGATTGTGGGATATTGAGAGAAAGGGGTTTCTCTCAGATTTCAAGCTGTTGTTGATTACCACCAAGTAAGAATACACTTGTGAGACGAACGGTTTAAATGAGGAAGGCAAATAACAAATGGTATTTGGGGCAGTTTGAGTTTTAGGTACCTGTGAAATGTCCTGGTGGTATTTGATGGTATTTTAATGCATGTGAAGCTTTAAAAAAATGAAATATAGATTTGCAAGCCCCTCAGCCTGTCTGCAGTAGCTAAATTTTTTAATGAAAGAATCACAAAAATGAGAGTGTATAGAGTGAGAAAGGAGCCCAATATAACTTCCTCTATTTAAGGAATAGATTGAGGGAAAACATTCATGAAGGGGCAGTTTCACTTTATTTAAGACACCTTAAAATTCTTACTCCTTCATTAAAGTAAAATGAGATCCAGTTTACATATCAATAAGTTAAGCATATACTTTTTTATGTTTCTGTCTGATTAATAAACTAATGTTTACAGGGAAAATTCTCTTTTCCCTTGAAATAATGAGTTTGATCTTGATCATTTCCTAGTATACTTAACAGGTGTCTTGAACATCATATTCATTAATCCACCCGTATTTTGGGGTTTTTTAATACAAGCTCAGTAAAAACAACTTGGCAGATGCCAGAAAGTAGCAAGATTCTGCTTTTTATTTTTAACAAACAAAAGCAATTTTGCATGTTATTACCCTTTATAAACAGTGGCTATATATTATTTTGCTGAGTAGATAGATGTCACATTACTTGCACATTTACATGCAGTTAGACACTCAGGTTAAGTTTTTAAAGATAAAATGTGCTGTATCTTTGCGCATAATTTTTTTATATTTAAGATTCATCTTTAGAATCAATTCCAAAAAATTGTAGTTCAAAAAATTTGCAATTCAAAAATAGGATTATTTTTTCCCAGGATTATCATAGCTTGTCACTACTTTTTAAATATTACTGTTGTTTCAATTTATAAAATTTCTTGCAGGACTGGAGAAAATTGAACAACTTCAGAATCATGAAAATGAAGACATCTACAAATTGGCCTATGAGATCATTGACCAGTTCTTCTCTTCAGATGATGTATTTAATAATTTTTTTAGTTTTCTTAGATTTATATATACTAAGTCTGGATAAAATAATATAATAAGGGACTATACATGTATGTGTTTTTGGAATGGAGTTACAAATAGATGTATGGCAATAATGTTACTTGTTTTGGAAACATCAATATTTTAAAATACCTGCAGGGAATATTAAGCCTAATGGCCAAAAAGGATAAAGACTTTTTTGATACTAGATGACTCAGGCTTTATTTTTACTTGATGTCTTTATAGTAATAATTTTTTTTGTTGCTAATAGCTAACATGTTTATAAACAAAATAGTGATACTAGTATATCCTATAAGTTCTTTATGACAGTAATCATTCCACACTTGAATATGTTGTCACTCTTATTTTTATCTCATGACTGAAAACAAATATTAGGATAATAAATAAGTTAAAAAAAAGTAATCAAAAAAGAGAAGGCAGTATACAATGTAAAGTACTAAAACCTTAAGATTGTCAGTATATGAGAGGGAATCCCCCCAAAAAAACAGAATTTTCTTTTGGAGGGTGGGTCCCTTGTAGTACAGGCTTCTCCCATAAGTGAGTGTTCTAGGAACCTATGGGCATCAGTGTATCAGCTTGTGTTGTTGTGAGAGGCTGCATTCAGCTTCAGTGAATTTGGGGGGAGAGATTTTTTTCAACACATTTGCCTATTTTGTGATGGGTGATTTACGAGTGTACCTGCCCACACTGTGCTGAGTATTCAGCAGCTTTTGACCAAAAACAGTATAACCTGTTTCCCACCCTCCCTATTCAACCAGTCTTGCCCCAAGCGACTTTTGTTGTTTCCTTGATGAAGAAAGTCCTCAAAGGGAAACCTTTTGCCTATGTGGAAGAGGTGAAGCAAAAAATGGCAGAAGCACTGAAAAGCATCCAAACTGACAAAGTTGACAAAGTTAAAAAAACTTTTGAACTGGAAAAAGCATCTTAATAGGTGTATTGCATCCAACAGAGAGTACTTTGAAGGTGACTGAAGTTTAGACATGTAAGAATAAATGCACAGTTTTTTATAAATAAGTTCCAGCTTTTTGGGGGTCTCCCCTCACATAGTAGTTGAAGTTTTAAAGTATTTGCTTTTTTTAGTATTGCCTCTTTTGAAAAAGTAAATCTAAAGTTAAAGCAATTGCTCCTTAGAAAATTACAAAGGTTAAATACAGCCACTGGTGGATTTCTTAAATGATTTCTCAATTTTTCAAAAAATAAGTCTTTTACTGCATACTTTTCCACATTATCAAAAGAGTGGAATGTTACTAAACATAGTTTGTTGAGTATATATGGTTTGAACATTAACCTGACAAGGACAGTACTAGAAAAGAAAATTATATACTATTTATTTATGAATGTTCAAGCAAAGTCCTATTTAGAATATAATGCCAGTTAAATAAGTCAGAAATAAAATTCAGAAAAGGCATATTCTTTTAAGGATAACTTTAATTACATATCTTAAAGTTGGATTTTTGGAAATCCTAATTTGCAATTTGGTGACTACTTGCAATAAGGTAACAAGGCCTTATGATTTCTTATACCTCAACATGCAATTTTTTGTTGTTCTTTTACATTGTGAAAAGAATAATTTGATAATGTGCATGTTTATGGAAATACACTCTGTTTGTAATTTGTAAAATTTCCAGAAAGAACATTCAGATTTAAGGCATATAGATATTATGTATGCATTATTAGCAGAACTGTTGTAGGTTGAGTAGATCTGAAACACTTAAGACCAGAGCTGTTTTGGGTTTTTTAAAATCTTAAAATATTTGCATTATATTTACCAATTGAGCATCCTTCATCCAAAATCTGAAATGCTCCAGTGACCATTTCCTTTGAGCATCATGTTGGTGCTCAAAAGTTTCTGATTTTGGAGTGTTTTGGATTTTTAGAATAGGAATACTCAACCTGTATTTTATTATTTTAAGCCCCAAAACCAGCAATTTGTCTCCAGTTGCTGAAAAATTAACCAAAAGGCTGGGCATGGTGGCTTATGCCTATAATCCCAGCAATTTGGGAAGCTGGGGTAGGAGGATTGCTGGAGCCCAGGAGTTCTGAGACCAGCCTGGGCAACATAGCAAGACTTCATCTCTTCAAAAAATTGAAAAATTAGCTGTGCATGGTGGTACGCACCTGTAGTTCCAGTTACTTGGGAGATTGAGGCAGAAGAATCACTTGAGCCCAGGAAGTCGAGGCTGCAGTGAGCCCTGATCATGCCATTGTACCCCAGCCTGGGCAATATTTTGGCATCTCTTAAGAAAAAAACCTTTATAAAGCGTTTCAGCTTTCTAAAGGATGGTAGGACAATGTTGGCACTCCTTATCTCTCTTATATATATATATATATATTTTAAGGGCAATGGGACTGTTACTATGACACTATATATGCTTGAAAACTAATTATCACTTTTTTTTTTTTTTTTGCCTAGATTGATGAAGATCCTAGCCTTGTTCCAGAGGCAATTCAAGGTGGAACATTTGGTTTCAATTCATCTGCCAATGTACCAACAGAAGGGTTCCAGTTTTAGAAAGATGTTTTTGAAGTTAGGTACAATGCAGCACTGAGATATATATATATATATACATATATATAAAAAGGTTTGATCCATCAAGCTTGGCTCATGGGATCTGCTGCTGCATTAAATCGGGAAAGAAAATGTGAAGATTTCATTTGGAATCACAGAAAATGCCCAAATGAGGTCAAGATGGCGAGTGGGTGCGAGTGAGAATGAGTGGCAAAATGTAATGAAAACTTTACATGAATGCTTATTTAGGTTGTTCAAAGTAAAAAGGGCTACAGGTCACAGATCTTCAGTGCCTGAGAAGGAACATTGACTTACTCTATATCAATTGAGGGGAAAGTGCAGTACTGTCATCTTCAAGCCTTGTAAGCATAAAAGAGAATAGGATGCCCATATAAGTCAAAGGAAAACGAGCCCAGGCCTTGCTATGAAGCACTGTGTGAGTGGACAATGTTGAGTGAATGTCTGGCTCAGTGATGGCGAGCCAGGTTCATCTTTCAAATCTAGGGCTCTTCCCTCATGAAGCAGACTCCTAGTCCTGGAGTGACTGTGTACGAGAGTGTGGTTGTGGTGCTGTATGTGAACGCATGCAAGCTTGATTCGCCTTCAGGGGGCTGATAACAAACCTAGTAAATCATCAAAATGAGATCATAAGTGTTGATGTACACTGGACATGAAAACAAAGACCGGTTTAGCAGCAGACATTGGTTTACTCTGCAGCCTGTGTTTTCTATTTCCCTTCTTCCCTTTTCCCATCCTTCCCCCCTTTTTTCTTTAGTTTTTATTTACTTTACCTAGTATGGCTTTTTTTAGTTGCTTCTCAAGTCAGAAAACTTTTCAGGAAGGTTTCCCTGTGCATTTGCACCAGATGAATGTTTGATGCTATGAAAAGCTTTCCATATCATCAAAACTAATTTGTGTAGATTTTTGCATGAAAAAATCATAAATTTCCCTCAAAATAGACTGTGTTGCAGTACACAAGTTGCCATAATAGTATAAAACAGTAAAATGTGCTTAAAAGGCCATCCTTTTCATTTTCAGAGATAACATAAAGATCTTTGCATGAGGTAAAATCTACAGCATAGTTCATTTTTAGATTTTGTTGAGTCCTGTAAAGAAGAAGAAAAAAGTTTCCGTTGTGGTAGAATACCGTGCTGTGTTTAAATGTTACTTGTTTTCAAACTTTGTTTTCTATGAAAATGATATGGAAACTTCTAAAATGGAATTTGGTGCATATGTACTGCTGAATAAAGACCGATGAAGAGGTTTGAGTAGATGTACAAATCAAGTAATGGTTTGAACACCTTTAATAATATGCCTAATCTGTTCAATTGTTTTAGAATCTTTTTATCTTAGATGTAGGCAGCCATGAACAATCTATTTTGAGCCACTTTAGGGAGAAAACTTTGTATTTTTAAAACTTGCATAAAAGTTATGCAAGTGGTTTTTATAAATTGGAATAATACCTCAGTTTTGAGGTTATGCACACTAAATTAAATGTGACATAAATTAATTTGTACAAAAAGAACTCTTTATAAGGTGGCTCATTGTAGGAAATCCTGTGCCTTCCCCTTTGAGCACAAGTGTTGCATGAACAACAGTTTGCTATAAGAAACATACCAGATTAGCCACCATTAGCATCTATATCTACTTTGTGTTTAAAAATCAACTGGTAATTCTGAAACACTGTAGAATGGATAAAAATTATTTTGTGATCATAACTCTTTGTTGAACTAGAGTATTTTTGCAGCATTCCTTGTCATCAGAAACATGGTTAAAGTTTAAAACTAGAAGCAGCAGAAAACTAGCTTGTAAAATTTATCCAAGTAGAGTGCAGGCTAGGCTGTCTTGGGGAAATAAACATTAAAACTTAAAGCAATGTTTTACATGGGGTATGTGTGTGGTGTGTGGATTTTTTAAAAAATATTAATGTAAAGGTAGAATAACTCCTTGGTTTATTATTAGCTTCTTAAGTTTATACCTAGAACCACCATAACAGAAGACATTTCGTAGGTTTTGTAATTTCAGTATGGACATGTTAATATTTTAACCCACTGAATTGGTTCAGTTGACACTATCACCATCTATGCTTCAGCTTTCTCTCTGTCCAAACCAAGGTTAAAACTAAATTTCCTTCATTCTCCCAGCAAAATAGGCTGAGACAGACAAGTTGAGCTATATCTTTAGTATCATCAGAACTTCAGCATATGGCTCCAAATGATAGTGTATGCAAAACACAGTTTTTATTACAGAAGGCTTTAGTTACTGGGAAGTGAACATAGCAGTACTTTAAAAATTTTGTATTTTTTAGTAAAACATCTGATCCAAAGTAACCCAGATGAGCTTGTAATAGGCCATAGTGTTTTATAGAATTGTTAAATGTAAAATAAGTGGTGATGATATTCTCATCTCAGTACTACAAGGGCTACCCTGATGGTCTAAATATTCTACTTCTACATATAGTCTTATATATGACATTGATTTTCTAATAGAATTTAGGAAGGGCTTCTCTATGTCTGAAATTGTTTCAGTACAGTTAATAGTTCACCACGGTTACCTGGTTTAAACACAACTTTTAAAAATTCCTCAGTGATCTAGGAAATAGATTTATTTTTAATACAGATCATATGTCTGATGAGGGGGAAAATTGAATAATAAGCTACATGTTTTTGACTTTTCATATCTTAAACTTCCTTTTTCTGAGCCTTGAGCCCTTCTCAAGGTGCTGTAAAAATAAGAATATTTGAGATGTGTGAGAAGCCCTGCTGTAAACTCTGTCTTTAAAGATAGTTCCTGATTTTCAGACCAGTAATTGTGTGTCGTGGTGGAATTAATACTTTCCACAGTGCTCTGGTCCTGAACTGGAGCATTTCTATAATTAAAGCTATCTACTAATCATTAAAAATACATCTGGAAGAATTTTGGGAGGGGAATCATATAGTTTAGCCTTACCTCAGCTGCAGTTCATCGTTTGAGGGTTTTTTGGCTGCTTTAATGATATGACTGCATTGTACAATGACTGGGTTTATTGTAACATTCATGTAATTTATGGAGCGCACACTGGATTCTCCATTGCCTCGGTTTCCTCAAGAAAAAAGTTACAGAACTTAAGCTGAGTTTTGGTTTTAAAGACTGTAATTACCACAGACTTAGTGTCTTAAAACATGACATACATAATTTCACAGTTTCTGTGACTCAAGTCCAATTACAGTCTTCTGCTCAGGATCTCACAGGGCTGCAGTGTTACCTGCAGCTGGGGGTCCTCTTCCATGCACACATGACAGAATCCCTGCAACTGTAACACTCATGGCCACTTGCTTCCTCAAGGCCAGCAGGAAAAAATCAGGGAAGGCCCTTATCCCTCTTAAAGGTCTCACCTGATTGAATCAGCCCTGCTACGCCCAGAATAATCTCACTTTTGATCAACACAAAGCAAAACTGATTATGTACCTTAATTACACCTGTGCAATCCATTCGCCTTTGCCCTACATTGTAGTCCAATCACGGCCGATCTGTTCACGAAGGGATATAAGGGTATACAAGGAGTCTTGAGAGCTATCTTAAAGCTCTGCTTACCACAAAGATAGATTTTGAAACTGGAACCGTTTAGAAGCGATCACCGTACAGAATGCAAGCTTATTTTTGGATAAAAATTGCCTGTGGGAACATAATGAAAACTCTGGACCAGCTTTCCCCCAAAATGCATGTACATGCTTTTTTCCATATAGTTTTAGGAGATTGAAATGAGTTCATGAATTGCCGAGTACAAATGATCTCTCCCATCCTCCCTTTCAAATGTTAGAGCTGCTGATGTGACTTGCCTAGGGTCACACAGACTAAGGGCCAGATAAGCCCTGTATCCCATCTCCTGTACTTCCTGGTGATTCCAATTGCTATTCTAAAAGTAATCTTAATTTGTTTAAATTTGTTAACCAATGCAGGGAATGTTTTTGAGCTTTACCTGTCTTGTATACTGAGGAATGACTAATAATTGTGGTAGAAGCCTGCCTGAGAGTTCTAAAATCCGTTGACTTTTTTTCTTTAGTTTTCAAAATTTAATCTTGCATTGTAGCTATTAAGGTGGGGAACTGTAAACAGGCCAACTTAACTTTAACCAAAGGTGGCTAGTTGGCCAGGCTCAGTGGCTCAGCCCGTAATCCCTATACTTTGGGAGACCGAGGCGAGTGGATTGCCTGAGCCCATGGGTTCAAGACCAGCCCAGGCAACTTGGTGAGACCTCATCTCTACAATAAATCAAAAATTAGCCGGCCATGGTAGTGCGCACCTGTAATAATGACTACTTAGAAGGCTGAGGCGGAAGGATCGCCAGAGCCCAGCAGGTCGACGCTGGGGTGGTTATGAGCGTGCCACTGCACTCCAACTCAAGAAAAAAAAAAAGTGGCTAGTTAACTCCTGAGGTGTGGTGCTACACCTTTTTTGTGTATAAAATGTCTGTTAGAATCCATTGTTAACTATTCTGAAGGCCAAGATTTCTGAGTATTCTTACACCTTTTTTATTTGTTGATTATTTTATTCATTAAATGTCAGCCAATAATATGAGAGGGAAAAAAATTTTCCCAAACATCTGATAAAATATTTCCGAGCACTGTTATTAATAGTGTATGGCTTTTAAAATACAATAATTTTAAAATAATTTTTTAAAGTTATTGCATAATGCCTCTTTTTTTTGAGTTGGAGGCTCACTCCATTACCCAGGCTGCAGTGTAATGGCATGCTCACGGCCACCCCAGCTTCGACCTCTTGGGCTCAAGTGATCCTTCTGCCTCAGCCTTCCAAGTAGCCAGTCCTACAGGCGCACACTACCACACCCAACCAACTTTTTGATTTATTGTAGAGATGAGGTCTCGACAAGTTGCCCAGGCTGTTCTCAAACTCGTGGTCTCAGGCAGTCCCCTCACCTCGGCCTCCCAAAGTGCTGGAATTACAGGCTTGAGCCACCACGCCCAGCCATTGATGTCTTTAAGATGAATCAAGATGCACATTGATGGCATTAGTGCAGTCTTAATAAAGGAAGATGAAAATGATTGGTAAAGCCTATATTCCAGGTGATCAGAAGCAGCTCTGGATTATAGTGTCAATTTTATATGAACTAGCACATTGATCATGTATAGGGAAAGTAGATGTAATATTTTCCCCTAAAGACTTAACCTAATAGTTCCATTAATTTTGAATATTACAAGTTCAGGCCTTTTGGGCGACAGGTTTCACTTAGGATGTTCTGTCAAGCTGTACTGTTGATGATTAACTTGACAGCTACTGCTGTGGGTATAAGAGAAGCTGAGTGTGAGGAGAGTAAATGTTCCTACAGATTCTGATCTACCTCCACTAGAGGACTGTAGTGCTCCCTTGTCTGTTGGATTCTCTTTACCCCAGTTTCTGCCTTCTTTCCTCTATAAATGTTGTATCTTTGTAGCTCTACTCCAGGTTACTTAGCTTTTTCAGACTATCAGTTCTTCCAGTTTTATTTGTAGAGAAATTGTAATAACCTGATCTACTTAGGTTTTTCTTTCTGTCACTCTTCAAGCATGAGTCCTCCTTCCCTGACCATGTCTTACTTCTGATCTGTGTAGCTGCTGGATTCCTTGACTGTGATTACTCTCGAACATTGTCCAAAATGTCCTCCTGCCTGTTTTTGCTCTTGCCTTAAAACTGTTCAAAATTTCTAATAATTTGCTTAAATCTTCATGCTTTTTGTGACATGCTCAGTCTCCAGTTACTTGCCTTCCAGATAATTGCATCCATGTTCCGTCTTCTCCATTCCTCTGATTTTTGAGCCCTGTCGACTCCCTTCCCCTATCCTCTGTACATAGTTACCATTTTACTCTTTTTAGGTGCAGTGATAATAGCCAACTCTTGTACTTGTCTAAAGAAGTATTCTTTTCGGAAAAAACACTCTATATTTTGACTCCATAATGATGGGGGGATCAGGATAACATTATTTGCTCTCCTATCATATTCCTATACTTCTTTTCAAGTTGTTCCCCCCTGTTCAACTCAGTGTAAAACGTATCTATTACTTATTCTAGGTATCTTCTACCTCCAACCATTGTCCTTTTTACTTGCCTATGTGCTGCCTCTGTGAACGGGTATAGTCTGCCACAATCCAGTGAGCCCCAGTGCAGTGTTCAAGGTGCCTCACTTGTGTGACTAGTATTTTTACCATGTCTGTGTTGTTACATCTGTCCAGTGGTCCTTTGCATAGTGGCAGTTTTGGTCATCTTAAACCTTAAGTTATAATGTGTGTGTGTGTGTATACAGAACTGGTATAGAAAAACTAGTTTATCTTTTCCTTCGAACCAGTTTAGAATGGTCTAGGACAGCTAAGTTACCTAAGCAGTAACTGACCCGTCAACTTGAAATCAGAGGTGATAAGAGTACTGAAGGGTTGTTTTCCTTGTTATGTCTATCCAGATAGTCCCCATTTTGCAGTTCTCCCCAGCTGCAGAAAGAAAAGGCAAAGACAGCAGATAGAAAGTGTCTCGTTTGCATCCTGGTTTTCTCAACTCCACTTGAATATTCCATATGTCTCCAGGAAGTCAGCATATCCAGAACTATCTGCTATCCTTGCCATCCCCATTAACACTCATTTTTCGGTATATGTTTTGCATTTATGGTAATTTCCTGCCTGTAGTATCTGTTTCCTCGTTGCGCTATCACATCTGCGTTTCTCCATCTCCAGTAGATTGTAAGCTCCTTAAGGGCAAGGTCGGCTATAAGCAAAGCTCTGTAAACACCACGAAGGTATCATGAGTTCTGTGGGCACTCAATAAACAGTTTTAATGATGTAACTTCTCAGATGAACTGATTGTAGTGACTATTTTTAAAAGTCTTCCTTCAGTTGGGAGTTGTTTAATTTATCTAATCATCTGAG